TTGTCGGTAAAAATATCGAAATCTACAAAACTTAATCAAAGGTTTTGAAAACCAATTTCGGCATAGTTTATCTCTCAGGCCTATTTATGAGTTGCATATGCCGTGTAAAGTATTGGTTCACCATTAATGCAGGGGCATAAAAGAACAGCAACATTTCGTGGAAAGATTAAACTTTCTCCAGTAAACTTTTGGTCTAAACCTTTTTTTAAAAATCTTTTAAGTATATTGAAACATTGCGTTTTTCTAGTCTAACCTGCAGTTTCACATGAATGCATACGTATTTTAGCATCTACAAATAAAACTGTGGTGGAAATTTGCACCTTAATTTTTATTAGTGGCATGTATGTCTATATTTGTGATCTCTTATATGAGATGAAAAAATCTGTTTTCTATCTTATTTTTAGAGGTTTTTAACTTTTATGTTTGTTTGTTTCTATCAAATGTGTTTGTTACTCAAAGATGTGAGATAGAAATTGATCCATCAAATTAAAAAGAGATAATATTATGCCTAAAATATAGCAAATGGTATAATTTCATCAACAAATGGTTTGAAGTTAAATATTACATTTAGTGCTAAAAATTATGTTATGTCCAAGAGTTTCCAGAGTTTGTATTGCAGAGGTGCCGTTGCTACTACAGTTAGAGGTGAGTGACTCCGTATAGTAATGGTATTTACAGTTCTGTGCTTTTATTGTTCGCCTTAAGGGGTAAAATTCGAGGGTATCGAAATGCATTGAAAGATTCTTTTGAATATTTATAACAAATAGTTTTTTAAAAATCACCCTAGCAAAATGGCAAGAGTTAAAGAAGCTAGGAAATTGGAAAATTCTCCAGAACCGTAGAAAACGGTGGTGGGTTCTAGAGCAAAGATTTCAAAATTCTAAAAACAGTCTTGAGGAAGATTTAGGTGTTGGATAATGCTGCTAAATCATTGTTCTCTCTACAAAACTATAAACACGTTAATTTCAACGTAAATATAAAGGTAAAAAAGGCATCTCTCCTGATCGTGCAGCTAAAAGTTGCTGATGGGTTGCGCCATCTGTCCGACTTTTACTTGCACGATCATGAAATGCTTTTTTAAAATTTATTTATCCACCTGATCCCAGTACTTTTTTACTATTTTTCGTAAATAAAAAGGTTTCTCTTCTCCCCACTCGAAATATATCGACTCCACAGAGATCGACAATAAGGACTGAACTATCGTCATAGGCGCTAATTCAAAAAGAACATTTTCACGTGTCTTTTTATGTCGATCTTTGATGTGCTCTATCAGGACTATGAACTCTATAAAAGAGATCTATTCAGCTGTCTCTCCAGGATTTCCAACTAGTGACAATCTCCACCACAGACCAAGACATCCTACCTCCACTGCATGGCACTGGAGACTGCAAGACCAGCTTTATCTGCCGTTGTACTTTATTCCGGCTTCCTCCCAGATAATTGTGGTCCCCAATTATTGAAGTCTTGAAATACGGTATAACTTTTTTTTTAACAGAGAGCTTTTTATCAAAGTTTGAACACACCACGTTGAGACAGTATTGCCGCTGTTAGATATAACCACTTCACTTAGTTGGTGTCTTATTACATTTCTGTGTTCTCTAACCAAGACTCAACTTTGGAGCTATATTGGTAGGGAGGCACATGGTAAAATAAACCATCAAATAAACGTCAACGACCTGTGTGTTTACAAAACTTTAAATCTCTTATTTACAAAAATCTCGAATATAAAATATTTCTACCTCACTCAAGAGCATTCGCGATATGATGTCAACGTCAGTGTTAAGAAGATGCAACGCCAGGATAACTCTCCCAGTTGGTGCACAGACCGCGACAAACCACTTCAATCAATTTTAAGATCTTGAAAAAAATCTGTCAATTACTTTTCACTGATGGCGTCGCAGTGAATCTATAAACGTTCTGAATCCAGGGTTGTATTGTTTCAGAATATCATGTTTCAAACTGTTATCCCCATATAAGAAAGAAAAACATTTAAGCACGCAAATTTCTTTTAAACATAAAACAAACATCTACTGTCCTTACTGCGATGAAATGTATATTGGGAGGGCTTGTCTCATCAGTGGTGAACCCTCCCAGCGGTTTCGCCAATTTAATCTACTCGACCGCTTTTAGAGCTCTAATACTGTATTGGTCCATTCTGCTTATATACGCTGCAATGAAGAGTGGAATCTTAGAATTAGAAAACACAACTAAACTATGGACATAAGCTTTTAGGAAAGTAGAATATCCCTATATACATATTAACCCCCCCCTGTTCCTTATTGACCATATTTTAGGGAAAATTCGGAGAGCTTGGCTCATCAGTAGTGAACCCTAGCAGTTTTGCCAGTTTATTTTATTGTGCTTAAAGGGAAGATCAGTTTAGGTGAATTCTTTTCTGAAGGTTTTAACTAAATTGAAACAAACCTTTGAAACAAACTTTGCTAATATTAGATCCAAAACAATGTACCGCTCTTATAGGTTCGTAGATATCATTTGAGAGCGTCCTCTCAGATATAAAAACGAGTTCTAACATGTTCTAACATTGAAAGAGATGGTTCAGTCAGGAATAGGTCATAAAGCGAATGTAACCTTCATATGAAGGATTTCAACAATGGCTGGAGCTCTAGAAACGACATCTGAGATATTAGCTTGGTTTCCAGAATCCTCGAACCGCTCTCAGCCAGGTCTGGTCGCTGCGGGTAATCCGCGCAGTGGAGGGATGGGTGCGACGACAACAGCTCAACGGTGCACGATATCAGTTCAGCAGAGTCCTCTTGGAAACTTCCATCAATCAGGTTAGAGCGGGAATGCTCCACAAGTCCATATCGAAGAACAGCGACGATAACCTCCCAAGATATATTCAAGAAATGAGAGGTATTCTTAAACAGCCTCTCACAAAGAATCCCACTGAACAATCAATAATTCACGATCGTCCGGTCTGTTGATAAGGTGGCGTGCCTCTACCAACCGACCATTCCCAGAAAGGCTAAAGACGCTCAAAAAAGCATTCTCTCCTGATGTGAAACAATTCTAATCTCCCAACCTAAGTGATACATAATCCATCTACCTTCGTCACCAGTGAAATGAAATATCTTTGGCGACCATTCAGAAAGCACCAACCAATCAACCAAGGCATCACCACGGCCTTATCTACGGACTGAGTAAGTACCTGAGGTAGAAATGTTTACGACTAGCCTGTGGCCATCAAAGGTTGACTCTACCCAAGATGGAGGTTGATACTTTCAATTAAAATCTTTATTGCGCGAACAAATGTGAAGTTGATGATAAAATTACGAAATAGGGAATCTTCTGACCCAACGATACAAAGACTTCTCAAATCAGAATAGAGAACTAGAGATTGTGTTTTCAAATTCCGTGAGAATGTTGTGGCCAAATTGATCTTTTCAAAAATTACTTTCACTTATTCCTTATCCTTTGGTCAATTTTATAAAAAATAGTTATCTTCCAATTTAGAATTCAGTTCTCCAGTGCAATGTTAAATGTTAATGCAAATGATGTTCCTATGTTTAGCAGCAATTACCTCTGTAAAGTGAAGCAACAACCTAGCTAACGTAAAGGGAAATCTGAGAATTCAAACAATTTAGCGCTAATTTCTTCAAGCCAATTTTTACTTTTGTCATTACCGTATTGAAAGTATATCAGGAGGCTCATCAACCGAACATCCTCTCAGCAATTTCGTCACATCAATCCATCAGTCTAAGCTGTTCTGCTTCTATAGTCGGAGATTTAGGATTCTTGGTATAGTTGATTAACGCTGAGAGTGTTCGCCACTGATAAGTCAGAGCCTTCCAAAAATATCCTCTCGTTGCTAAACGGTGTTGAGCGCCAGCTGGTTGCTAAAGGATTGACGGGACTCTACTGAATGTATTCACAATTTATAATGAATATATTGTTGGATACAGTTTTAAAATCGATTCCAGACACGTGAAATTCGAGCGTTACACGTTTCTTTTAATTAAAAATCATAAATATCGGGATCCCATATCTAATTCAAAATTCCATAGTCACAACGGTAATGTCCGTGGAACACATGAGCTGTTACAATGATGCTAGTCCTTGTGTCAGATCCTCCCTAGGAGCCAAGTTGCACACCACAAAATACATACCGTTGTACAGGAGGAACGATGTGAAGATCCTAATTTAGGGTTCTCAGCGAAAACCTGTTGCTCTCCTGAAATCTCAGAGATTTTATACTGTTTTGTTTTTTTGCTTATCCCTAGTATACGTGGTACAGGCCATGATAATCATGGTGGGTAGAAGTAGGCGACTGCTTTTACTGAAAGTGCGCCACATGTCTACACATGTGAAAAGCAGTTCGAATTTGTGCCAGAGCCCCGTTTGGTTAATTGCACTCGCTGGTGGGGTTGGACTTTTGGAAGATTTTATACCATGATACCGAATGAGTGAGAGTTATTTATTTTTAAGATATGGTAGATATATGGTTAAGATATGGTTTTTAAGACTTGGTATAGAGAAAGCTCCTTCTAGTCGAAGGGTTTATAAAACCCGAAATCTTGAGAAGAATATATAATAAAGCAAGAAACTCATCCTTAAGGAAGTCGTTTAATTTATTATTTTATATTTATAATAAACCTTCAGCTACCCTATATGTGACACACCAAAACATTTATTCAATTCTAATTCATTAGTATTTTCTTCCACATTTACAGTTCCCACATATTCTTCTGAAATATAGATTTCGTTTTGAACCTGTCATGCACACCATTGCTGGTTTTAAAATCACCTTAGTTCATGGGATGAAAAAAAGCTTCTGTTGTATCATGGGTCTGTTTATTTGGAAGTTTTTTTAGCATAGGTTAGACTAGCTAGATATAGAACACTTCTGATAGGATATGCTAACATGTATGATCCCAGCAAAGGTTAGAGTTGATTCCTCTTTGTAGCAATTTTTAATAGCCCTCAATTTTAACTCTCATTGTAGAGAATTTATATTTTCTTATTTTAACATATTCATGCCTACAGCCAAACAACATTGAAAACACTGTTTCTCATCCGATCACTGAAGTTAAGCAATGTCGGGCCTGGTCAGTACTTGGGAGGGTGACCACCTGGGACAACCGGATGCTGTAGGCTAATACCAACACCACCAGCGAGTGCAAGTAAGTTTAAGTGCAAAAGTTGAACTGCTTTTCACATGTGTAGACATGTGGTGTACTTACAATAAAAGTAGTCGCCAATTTCTACCCCACCATGATTATCATGGCCTGTACCACATGCATTATTGTTGTTGTTTCTTATCCCCTTGTGTAAAGATTACACAAATTCCATGAGTTCATGCTTCTCCAGCTGTTTTATGATGAGCAGCAGCCTCTCCCAAAGGTCCTGTTTAGTGCATCTAATGCAAGCCAAAATGTGTTCTGGAGCTGCAGGTGCCAATCTACATTTCGGGCAAGTGAGGTAGATTTTGTTATTATTTTCTATCTTCAATGGCTTGAGATGGCCTGTTCTAAATCTTGTTAGTGTTGTTTGATGCTGTCTATTTCTGATGTTCAGAGATCCTCCTGGGTTCACTCCACTGTACCAACTGTTCTTAGGTGGGATCCTCCAGTTCTTGTTTATTTTTGTTTTGGCTATTGTTTCTATTTCTTTAAAAGTAAGTTTGTTTTTCTGTGGCAAGGGTTCTTTTGTGCCTTTTTTCGCTAGCACATCAGCAGCTTCATTGCCTTCAATGCCAACGTGTGAGGATATTCATTGAAGGTGAATTTTTGAGGTTTTTGAGAGTTTTTGGAGATAACCAATTATGTTCCTGCTTACTTTGTCTCTAAGTTCTCCTGTGTGACTCAAGTGTTGTATGGCACTTCTACTATCAGTAAGAATTCAGATATCTTGATAATTAGTATTTCTGATGGATTTTAAGGCTTCATAGATGGCTATAAGATCTGATCTGAAGACTGAGCAAAAAATCTGGGTTTCTTCTGCTTATTTTCTCAATGCCATTTGTGGTTTTGATGAGACAGCCACTGCCAGTGTGTCTCAACTCGTCTCTGCTACCATCGGTATAGATAGTTATTGCATTTTTTTAGGAATGTTATTAATTATTTATAATGATAATTGTTTTAAGTATTCTGGATTTTGGTATCGTTTATTGGTGGGTTCATTTAAAGTGTCATTAAAAATAACATTTTGTAGTGGTTTGAAAGGAGATATTTTTTCTGCTAAATATTTTTTTTTCCACTTTATATTTTAAAAATCCATTTCGTTTGGCCAGGTGGAGAGGGCCTTCTTTTTTGAGTCGTATATTGGATTCCCAATTAAGTATGTAATTGGAAGTTCTGTGTTTGTTTCCATAACTCTTTATTTTGTTAATATATTTTGGCAGATTGTAGCTTCTTCTATCCTTTAAGGGCATAACGTTTGCCTCGTAAAGTACAATATCATTAGGGCAGGTATTTCGAAGACCTGTAATAATTCTAGCTGCACTTAGTTGTATCCTTTCCAGTGATTTTAGATTTGTTTCAGATGCTGCACCAAAGATTTGATATCCACATTCCAGGATAGGTCTAATTAGAGATGTGTAAGTTAATTTTAGTGTGGATGCAACGGCTCCCCACTCTCTTCCTGAAATATATTTCAGGATTTTTAGTCGGTCTCTTTCTTTTCTAATACCTTCTTCAATATGTTTACTGGAGTTAATTTCTGGATCTAGGGTGTAGCCGAGATTGTACCACATGTACACACTAGGGATAAAAAATATAAATATATTCCTAAGTTTTGCCTGTGTTGTTTCACTTTAAATAGCTTTAATAACACAGGTCAACAAAAAAAACTTTATTTTTGCACAAGAGAACCTGATGGTGTTTCTAGTGTAACTTTTCATGCTGAACTCAAAAATCTAATCAGAAATTTCCCATCACCCATGGTTTTTGCCTGATGATCTTTTTTTAGTATTGGGATAAATACATGCATCCAACATGAAAGAGACTTACGAAAACATGAAACTGCTTTTGAAAAAGATAGAATATGAAAGATACGGTTGGAAAATATGCAGCGATTTGAAAGTCGTTGCTCTCTTGCGTGGATTACAGCTTGGATATACAAAATTTTGTTGTTTTCTGTGTGAGTGGGATAGCAGAGATAGGGAAAGGCATTACATTAAAAAAAATCTGGCCAAACCGTAAAATCTTTACTCCAGGATATAAAAATATTGCAAATCCACCCCTGATCGATTCAGAAAATATTTACTTACCACCATTACATATTAAACTGGGATTAATGAAGAACTTTGTCAAGGCAATGGATCGAAATGCCAGTGGATTTGCCTACCTAAAACAAAAATTTTCTAGTATAAGTGAAGCGAAGATTAAAGAAGGCATTTTCGTTGGACCTCAGATTCGAGAATTGCAGCAGGATGGAAATTTTCAAAATAGTTTGAATGAATTTGAAGCAGCAGAATGGAATTCCTTTTGAAACGTTTGCAAAAACTTCTTAGGAAGTGTCAAGGTTGAAAATTACCGAGACATAGTTAATGATCTGTTGCTTTCCTACAAGGCACTGGGATGTAACATGTCCCTCAAGATCCATTTCCTGCATTCACATCTAGATTTCTTTCCAGACAATCTTGGCGCAGTTAGCGATGAGCATGGTGAGAGGTTTCATCAAGCTATATCAAGCATGGAGAAGCGGTACCAAGGTAAATGGAGTCCCGCTATGCTTGCCGACGACTGCTGGGCACTCAAGAGGGATCTACCACAAGCAAAGTATAGAAGAAAATCCACTGTCACTGCTTTTCAATAATAAATATGTTTCGTTCATATATGCCTATATATTAACAATATTTCCAAATTCAAGTAGGTGTATCTCAGAAATATTGTGTAATAGAAAAAAACTAATGGTATATTTGGATTCAGGACATGTAGATATGATGCTATTTCTTTGTGGACAAAGAAAAATATTTTTTGATAAACCAGTTACGTGACAATGTTTGCAATTTTTAGTGTATTTATCCCAATACTAAAAAAAGACCGTCACGCAAAAACCATAGGTGATGGGAAATTTCTGATTAGATTTTTGAGTTCAGCATGAAAAGTTACACTAGAAACATAATCAGGTTCTCTTGTGCAAAAATCTTGTTGACCAGTGTAATTAGCATTTTATTCTAGTGGCAGCTTGATAAAATTGCCTTTATTTTGGAAGCAGTTTTTAATTTTTATTTTTTTTATTTTGAATTTGAGAATGGAAAGATATTCTAATAGATAAAAAAAAAAAAGAGTATAATGTAAAAATGTATATAACATGTGTGTAACAAAACTAAAACAGATTCAAGCAAACAATGTTGATAAATTTATTGTTTTCAAATCGCGATCTGTGAGCTGAAACATGCTCAAAATTTTGGTTTTAAAAATTTATATATTGATATTTTTAATATTTTGTTATAAACTTAGTATTTCAATTAAAATTTATTATTTTGGGTCTTAAAATTGAGATCATTATAGGGGTTGTTCATCATTTTAAAAATCTCAAAGTTTGTTATAACAAAGGTAGATTTCATGGAATGGAATTAGTGATTACCTTAGGTTCATTATAAGGAAAGGTTTGCTGAATTCCAGGGGTTTGAGATTTTACTGTATATTATTTTATACTTTTAACACATAGTCCCTTTGTAAACCAATACATTTTTCCAATGCTCTTCTAAGGCCATTTTTATAGAAAGTTTCATGTTGATACATGAAAATAAGTCCTAATCCAAATAATTTAATAGTGTTTCAAGTTTCAGTAACAGCATTATTACAATCATCAGACAAAAGAAAAACCTCATTTATTCTTTTGTCTGATGATGGTAAAAATGCTGTTATCGAAATGTCACACACTATTAAATTATTTGCATTAGGACTTATTTTCTTGTACACCTATCCCCCGATTTACACGTTTTTCTCAGGAACGTATCTACCGTGTAAATCGGGGGATAGGTGTACACAGAAATAAAATGCATTGACAGGTTAAAATATGTATTCAGCACATAAGCTTGGGATTCCTCGTGAGATGCGTACACAGCGCATGTGTTCAATCACAGTAGCATTTAGTATAGTGCGATAAAAACAAAAAAAACTTATTCAGAAAACCGTGTAAAAGCGAAAATGTGTAAAAAAAAGTACCGTGTAAATCGGGGGATAGGTGTATCTATAATCCAAATTGTGTTTTATCTAAGTTTCAAGTTATTTCTTCAAAAAATTTGCAACAATTTCTTTTCTTTCAAATTTATATTTTAAAAAGTCTGAATAAGTTATAGCTTTAGAGAAGGAGGGAGGTTGTTGATTGGGGACCTGCATTTGTTGATTGAAGTTGATGGATAAACAGGCCAGGTTTTCTTCTTAATTCTCTCACTATAGTTATTTTACATCTTTATTGGGAGAGTATGTAGGACGACAATGGGAAATAAAAAAGGCAGCAAGAAACATTCAAGATATTTATTTTAAATGCCTTTACATACATGGATGGTAACAAGTGACAAATGGACAACACTGTATTGACTAGTGACATGGAGGGGAAGGTGGTCAAATATAAGTGGAACACCCAGGAAACAACCTGAATGAATGGAACTACTCACAGGGAAAATATCTGGAGTTCCACAAATGACATGGTGTGATTGACACATTCTTAGAGCAATGGTAATAATTTATCCCAGAGTGTGTGTAATTATGTACATATATAAGATGACAATATATATATATGCATATATCTTACAAGATAGGGGAGTTTCAACACCATAAAAGCATTACATTCAATCTTCCACATAGATAAATATGTCTAAATGATCTGAAGCTAGGCACCATGTAGCCAACATTGGAAGAGATGAATGATATCCTTCCTCTCAACAATAGGACAACCAATCACTCCCAATCTACAGATGTGTGGTCTCACACCTTGGACAAACTTGGTTAATGATACTGAGCGTCTTCATTGGCATCTCCAACTATTGTAATCTTTTATTTTATTTTTTCTATAGTGTAAGTTCATAGTTGCACAACCCAGATTCCTGATATTTGCTTCATTCTCAAAAAGGGGATTTCTATAAAGAAGGAACACCTGAAGTACTAGGGAGACCATAATCTTAAATATGTATTAATCAGCATAAA